AGAGATAAATTACTTGTAATTTTGAATAACTTGATCCCAAATAAACAAGGGCAGGATTGCCGAATTATAAAAAAAAAATATATATATATATAGTTAGTAGCATTTATATATAACTATATACTGTATCTATATTTATATTTATAAAAATCATATAAAAAAATTTTTTTTAAATAAATATATCGTTATTTAAACTAAAATCAATTTTAGTATTTTAATTACTAATATAACCTTCACTTAAAACTTCATCAATGTTTTCATTTTCATTATATTTAATAATATATTCTTTTTTTGTATAATGCATTCTCAAGTTACTATTAATATAAACTAATTTTTTTACTCGCTCTTTTTTTAAACGATTTTTAGTTTTGGAATGAATATATCCAAAATTAGAATAATTATGTTCTGCAGAAGCAGATGAAGTTGGAATTGACAAGATACAAATTGCAAGTTTTTGAAGCTCTGATAAAGGCCAAGAAGACCACCAAGTTGAAGGGTTGAGATGAATAGCTGAATTCTAAATTAATTTATTATTATATGGTATTTGTTTGTTATGAAATTTTAATAATTCTGTATATATTCTAGACACTTCTTCATTAGGATATTTTAAAGAAATAAAGTTTGCAAATGTTGATAAACAATCTGATTCATAATTTTTTTTGCTCTCTTCAAGATAATTTGGATCTAATAAAAATGCGATAGTTATAATAGGATTGTATATATAATTTCAATGATTTTGAATTTTTTGTTGGATTTCTGCTGAATAATTACAACTAATTTTTTGAATTTCGGTTAAGATCATATTAAAGCATGAATAAGTTGTTGAAATTGTTAAGTTATTAGCTTCAAATGCTTTTAAAGCAGCAACAATCGGTTTAAGAATTCTAATAATAATTTTAAGATTATTTCAGAATTCATTTGAATATAATTGTACTTTAATTCGTGCTTCTAATGACATTGTACTTTAATCATAAATTATTTGTTGAATTGCTGTTTATGATTCAATAAATGCTTCAATACAATCAAGATGTGTTCCCCATTGTGTAATTACAGGAAGAATAAAAGCAATTTCTTTACTATAATTTTCTTTTTGAATATATCTTGCCATTGAAATATAGTGATCTTTAAAATATTTAACAACCATTTTGACATCATCTAAAACTATTTTAATTTCATCAATTTTTAAAATATCACTAATTAATAAGTTAATAACATGTGAAGAGCATCCAAGACAAATAATATAAGGATATTTATCTTCAATTATTTTCCAAGCAGCTTTCATATTAGCTGCTGTATCCGTAATAAGAGATGAAAATTTATGAATTCCTACTTCTTCCATTTTTGTAATAATTTGAGTTGCAATTCACTCTGCTGTATAATGAGCTTCTCTAGAAAAAATTGTATTGTAAAACACTGAATTAGGTAAACAAATAATAAAATTTTGAACTGCTTTATGATGGATATTTGATCAACCATCAGAGACCATAGTAAGATTTTGAATATTATCTATTTTATGTTTAATATCAGTTTTAATATCTTCATATACATTTTCTAAAAGTCTTGTTGATAATTTATCACGATTGGGAATTTTAAATGATGGCCAAAGAGCATCAAAAAATTCTACCCAAAAAGAATTTGTAAATGTATTAAAAGAAATACCTGAAGTATAAATTGCTTTAGCGAATTTATAATCTAAATTTAATATTTCATTATGATCCATTCAATCAACATAATTTACTATAGTATTTTGTTGTTTTAAATCCGAATCTTGCAACTTTAATTTTTTAGTAGTTTTTGCTGATTCAGGTGCATTTAAACAATTATTAGTATGTTTTTGTATACGGGTTGCAAGTCTACGTTTGAATTTTTTAGAACAGTATTTATACTGTACAGGTGGATGTAATTTTTTGGAACCTTCCTGATCTTGAGTATTTGTTGATGAAGAAACAAAATCTTCAATATCGTCTTCATCATTACTTGATGTCTCACTACAACTATCAAGCTGACTTAATTCATTGTGTGATAAAATTCTCCAATAATCTCAAATTTTACTTTTTTGTGGTATATTAATAATGATAATTAAAGAAAATGATAGTTTATTTGAGAATAAAATGATAATAGTTGACACACTTGACAAGAATATTACGCTTTTCTTTATTATAATTTAACAAGTAAACGAAGGTAGTATTTATAATAATTATATAATAATAATTATTATTCATGCTTGTTTTATATTTTAATTATTTTTTTACTAATGGTTTAATTCATTAATTTATTTAAAACAATTCGTATTATTATAATTTTAATAATTGATTATAAAAGCAATTTATCTTTCTTTTATCATAGTATCACTTTAACAAATATTATACTATGATATATTTAATCGATTAATTATTTTTTTTTTTGTTTTGCTAAATTATTATTTAACACCAGCAATTTATTACAACTTGTATAAATTTTATTGTACAATTTAATAATCTTATACGAATGCTAAAATTATAACAAATAAAACCTGCAATAAATTTAGGCTTAACCTGCATTATAAATAACATATAATTATTTAAGTAGGTTTTACTAAAATTTAAAATAGGTTTCAGAATAATTGACCAGATAACGATAACTAAGATTGTTATAATGAGAATAAAATTCCTTGAATATAAGGTTTGATTATGATATTTATTATGCAAAAATGTTTTGATTGCAATATTTATTATGCGAAATATTTAATTACAATATTTATACACTTTCAAAACTATTTTCAACAACAATCACTTCTACCTATTCTTCCTGATTCTGATTTTTATAACCTATACAAACCACAATCTGAACTTGAAATTCACTATAGCAACCTTCTTACAGAAATTTCTGACGAAGAATGGTTCAAAACTATAAACCAATTACCTAATCAAAAAGCT